CATACACCCAACTTGCAGCCAGCGCTGTGTGAAATGCAGCACATAACTAGCTTGGATGTTCAAATAATGTATCTGGCTCAAGTGATATATTACGAAGAGGCCTTGTCGTTATATTTCCACCCTTTGATGGACACTCCAGAAACATTGATTAGAAGGGTTTACCCAGGTAAGCATTGTGGGGTCCTTGGTGCTCTCTGAAGTTGGTTCATTGAGAACACTGATGATGTTACCTAGTTTGGTAATGAAACATTGGCAGGAAAACCACCAAGCTCAGAGAGCACCACCATTAGTTCAACCCTAAGCTACACATTTATTCATTGACTTATTCTTAAATTTATTGACTAACCATCTTACCACTCTGGGAGGTAATATTCTCTTCTATTGGGTTAACCATTGACGATCAAAGGATTTTGGCAGAATTTTCAACAGTGAATTAAACTGTAGAAGACCAACTATGGGGCAGTTGGTCCTGCCATACCTCAAAAACATTTCGGGAGCAGTAGAACGCAGCTGGCGAGATCTGCAAGTGGGCATCGCACAGTGCCCTGAGGCTACCATACGAGGACAAATTAGATCGTTTGGAAGTGGGAGATAACTTCCAAGGTAATCTACCAGATTCCCTGTATGGATTGCCCCTGTGACTGTGTAGGACAAATGGGGAGGAAGCTAACTCCCAGATTGCAAGAACACAAGCATGGGGCGAGACGAGGAGACCCGAACTCATTGGTAACCTCACATTGCAATGAACGGACGCACACTGAATTTCGCAGCTACTAAGCTGAATTTCGCAGCTACTAAGATTGTTGGCTGAGCAGGGACAAAAACAGCCAGGGAAATTATTGAAGCCTGGGAAACGGGACCATTGTCAGTTAACAGGAGTGCTGAATTACCGCCAGCCTATCAAATACCGAGGAGCCAAGGGTTTGGCAGCACAGGGAGATGACAGGCAATCACCAGCCATCAACACACCAATCAGCCAATAGGAAGGCACTACATAAACACGACTCACAGAACAGCCCCAAACACATGTTTCAGTAGTGAGAAATTCCCTGAAGATGGGCTCCAGCATGGGTCCGAAAGCTCAGAAGAATAAATCTGTGGTCTCGTGACTGACCCAAATTCGATCTCGCATCATTATCCTGGGACACGTATATTTGCCTTCATTAGTGAATAAACTTTGGTTTGAATTACGCCTATTGTCTGCCTGGACTGGTATGTCCTTTGCTAACCTATTAATTTTTTTCTTTGTTCTTTTGCTATTTTACTTTCTGTTGCTATATTCCCAGATAGACTTCTCACTGTTCTGTGATTCGAAGTAGTCCTAGAGATGTTCATGAAATAAGCCGCTATTAGATACTAATAGTTCACAAACTGGTTCTCTTTTTTTTTGCCTCCCACGGAGAGCAGCTACTTCAAAGCCCTTGTGGTGGCATTTGGTGGGTGATTAGGAAAGGCACACAATTGTCTTCACTTGTATTTTTGAAAGCATGAATGCCCTTTTTGAGATCACCAGCGTAGCTGACGAGAGCGTGTGTGAACGTGCCCTGCAAATCTCATCATCTTGCAAGCAAATTGAATTTCAGAAAAGGGTTATTCAGTTAGGTGGCTTCCTGCTGGAGAATGATTCTGTATTTGAGCAACTTTCATTCCCCAAATTATATCACTGAACACTGACAAACTCTCTTGCGTTGTATTGCCTATTTTTTTTTTGGATAACACACCTGAAAGAACTAGAGCAGGGGTCGGCAACCCAGGCCTCTGGAGCTGCACGTGGCTATGTGGCTCTTTCATCCCTCTGCTGCAGCTCCCTATCATCGGTCAGGAGGAGGAGACTCTATGGTGGGTGAACCAGACTTCCGGTTGGCTCTAGAATTGAAGGGGGGCACTTCTGGTTAGGACCTTGTGGCTCTTTTGAGTGTTTAAGGTTGTTGACCCATGCAGTAGAGGAATTGTTTAAAGAGCTTTGGGGTCATGTGTTTCCTTTTTTAAAAGTTCAATTCTGAATATATAACATACACAGTGGAGCCCAAAATTTCTGTTGCTAAGTTAACCAGTTGTTAGGTAAGTTTTGGAGCATTTTACAACCTTTGTTGCCACGGGGTTAAGTGAATCACTGCAGTTCTTAAATTAGGAAGTTGTTGTGGTTCGCCGACAGCTGGTGCAGATGGCAGCGGAATCGGACAGTGGGGAAGAACAGGGGTCTGGGGAGGACTCAGACAAGGATCCTGCATCTGGTGAAGAAATGGGGCCAGGATCATCTGGGAGTGGGGTGCTGACTCCAGAGCCTCCAGAGTCTGGCAGCAGCAAGGCAGAGGAACAAGGGAAGTCTGTTTCCAGTGCGCGTGTGTACAGAGCTGCCAGAAGGCAAGAGCAGCTAAGACAAAAGGGGTGACTCGGGAGTAAGGCTTGGAGGTGATAGCCTCTCCCATAAAGGTACAAAGGACAGGCAAAGGTAGAGAAACCTTTGCAGGAAGCAAAGTCGTTCATTCTGTTAGGATTAAACCCCGAAGCTCTGTGTGAACCTTGTACTTCGGTTGGTTTTTTATAATTCATTTGGCATTCTAGTTGTTGGCAGCAATTCAAAGGAAAAAAAGGTGAATACTTATCTCAAAGGGACTGTTTGGGACTCAATACCAGCTGGGAATGAAAATAATTCCCAGCACTGAAATAAAACAAGAGTTGTTTGGACTAAGCGTGTGCTTAATTATGGTCTCAGGAAACCTTGGTCAGAACAGAAATGAGTCTGGCTTGTTAGAAGACTGCAAAATGTGATCACATGACCCTGGGACGCTGCCAGTTTCATAAATCCATGCCAGTGGCTGAGTGGCTGCATTTTGATCTTGTGGGGTGTGTGTGTTGCAACAGTTGCAAGTGTGAAAAATGGTCTTAGTTCACTTTCTTCCAGTGCCATTGTAACTTCGGTCACTAAATGAAAACTTGTAAGTTGGGAACTACCTGTAAATACATATTGCTTTTTTCCCATTCCCTTCACTAGCCATCCATCCCTCATCCTCTTTCTCTGAGTTTTCAGAAAAACAGTTTTTGGTTATTCCTTCCAAATTCTGCATCTGCCAAGAAGCTAAGACCTGTGAATCCCATAAGTAAGAATTACAACAGGTTGGTTTTCTGCTTGAGAAACTCTTAAAAAGAGCCACAGTTCAGCCAAGAATATACTCTGTGTGTGGATTGAATGCTTCGTTCAGCAGACCAGCACACTTAACATTTCCAATAAGAAACAATTACAAGTGTTCCTCAACTTATGACCACAATTGAGACCATCCTTTATGCTGCTAAGTGAGACATCTATCACATGAACTTTGCCCCCATTTTATGACCTTTCATGCCACTGCTGTTAAGTGAATCACTGCAGTTGTTAAGTTAGCAACTTGTTAAGTGAATCTGACTTAAACCGGTTGACTTTGCTTGTGAGAAGGTCAGAAAAGAGGATCACATTTATGACACTGCGACTGTCATAAATGTGAACCAGTTGCTGAGCCTCTGAATTTTGACCATGACCATGGGGGAGGCTGCAACTGTCGTATGTGTGAAAAGCGGTCGTTAGTCACTTTTTTCTGTGCTGCTGTAACTTTGAGCAGTCACCAAATGAACTAAGTCGAGGACTTTTCTTTAAAATTGATGTTTATTTGAGTGAGATGCTGGTACTTTAGGACACAATTTGAAAAACACAATTCTTTTAAGGCGTAAGGTCTTCCAGATCGAAACCAGCCATCGAGTTTGCTACATTTTCCAAAAACATGCTTCAAAGAGGACAAAGATAATACATAACAATCTGCTCAGCCATTTTTTTCCTTTAATAAGATTTAGTATCTCCCCCTTTGCTTATCCGGTGGAGTGATATCGACAACACTAAATCTCTTCCTTAAAATCAGATAGGAAGCTCCTTTTCAACTATGGCTAGTCCAGGCTGACCCACAAGGAATATGGCACACCAAAGGCAGGAATGGTTTAGGAAGTGCCTACCTCGCCACAGACGTTGTTCAAACACTAAAAAAACAAAGCAAACTGCCATTCCTGAGTTTACAGGCAACATGCTGTAACTCCAAAGAAAACGATAACAAATGTCAAAATCTCTTAAACCAGAAGATGTTCAGTATAAAAGCAAGAACTGGTGAATCCAATCCCTATCTAAAAGGAGATCTGAAATAGAACTATTCAGGAGCATTCTTAAGACTCAAATTTATCTTCTTCATTTCTAATATAGCATCTGATAGTGTAGGGGTTTATGATAAAATGGAAATCTATGGATCCAATCCCTCAATCTGTGATCCAATCCATTTACAATGGGAAAACTGCTTCTTGACTTATGAATAAAGAACAGGATGAGGCATGCCTCCTTCTCTTTCTTCTTGCATGCTTAATCATAGATTAACCAGGAAACTGGTTTAAAGATGGTTTAGAAACAAAATATCAAATGGACTCTGGGTGGGGCTCTTCAGTCATAATTTTCTGGTGCAGACATCGTTTAAAAATGAGGATTCCTTTCCTTCTGTTCCAAGCTCAGCTGAAGAGGACAAAATGAGCTTGCCAACTAATTCTGGCCTGCAGGAGCTCATTGTGACAGAACTGGGCCACTGTGTATTGGCTTTAGGAAGGGAAGGACAAAATGCAAACATATTAAGTGTTGTTTTCACAGAGGCATTTACATTAAACTACGTTAACCCAAAAATGGAAGGATTAGGAGGATATATAGTCAAGGCATGGAGAAAACACTTACTGAGAAGATAAAAGTTGCTAAACCACTAGAGTGGCAATGTTATATATGTTGGTTTTAATCGCTGTTATTATAGCTGCTTAATTCCCTACCGTTATGCGACACATGCATTTAAGTATCCCTCAATCTGTGTAATGAAACACAGCTGGAAAGTATATATGTCAGATGGAACACATGAATTTAAGCTCTGTTCTTGACTGCATTGACAATAAATATGTACGATCGGGTACAATTTCCCCCCCCCCTTTTTTTTATTTGTTAGGCTGAGCTAGGCTGACCTTGCCAATATAAAACCGTCTGTTTTGGGAGACAAATTCTTAGTCGACAAAGAATTGCTATTTGGAGGCTGAAGGACTGCACTATCTGCTGGAATGTTCTGCCCTCCAGTGGCCTCTACCTTGCTAGTCGAAGTCACCATTTCAGCACTGTGGGCAGAAGACAGCTCCTTTTTACAGGGGCAGCTCTGGATGATGTCACACTGCACAGCTGCATTGGATTTTTCTACCGGCCCAGCACACGCATCTGTTTGAGACGAAGCATGGTGCTTCCCCTGATCGTTCATGTCTGACAACGCCAGTCCAGCTCTGTGCAACATATTCTTTCTCGGAGTTATGGCAGGTTGAATATTAGTTTTATTCCAGGGCCTGCCATCGAACTGGCAAACACATTCTGATCCCAAGCAGGGATTGCTGGAAGTCCTTGAAAAAGAGCCTTGAGAATCAGATGATGCTCCTTCATCACACTCCTCTGGTTTAGACTGTTGAAATAAATCGGAGTCAGTGTAATTCTTTGACAGCGGCCGATAAATCACCCTGGTTGTTATGAAACTATGTGGTCGGGCTTAGGTTTTTTGGGAGGAAAATAAGGGGAAAAAATTCTGCCTCTTCCTACAGCATCTATCGGTATTCATCTGGCTAGTGTCTTGTCAGGGTGTGAAAGAGTTGAGGGCTGTTTGGAAAGTGAAACAGTATTTGCTGTGTGAGCAAGAAGAGACAGCAAGGAGCCTGGGCGTGGCTTAGCTCAACTGTTCTGTACTAAAGCTGCTTGCTGCTATGAAACTAAAATTGAAACGGAAACTCCTCTCCTCTGCTTGTGTTTTGCATTTGGAAGAGGTTTCTTTTCAGATGAGAGGGGGAGTAGAACTCCTTAGCATCAGAGCGTGTTAATAATAACAATATACAAAATACTAATGCTCTGATGGTCATTTCAAAAAATCCTTTCTTAGTGAGACCCTAGAAGCCAAGAGGAACATACGGCCAAATTTCAAGTTTGTAGGCTTTACGGTTCTGGAAATTTTGTGATGATGCGTGAGGGGTATTTCACTTTTATATATATAGATAAATAAAAGATAATATAATGGAAGAGAACTGATTCCAGCTTCAAAGCACTGTCAATAGTTTGTGTTTTCCATTAACCCATTAAGTTAGCTAGAAGTAATTGTCGATGGTGCTATTAGCTATTCCACTTTCCTATGAATTATAGAGAGGGCTTCTATGTATTAAAATAATTTGCAGGAGGATTCAAAATCTGCAGTGTGCAAGTATTTGAACAACGGACTTGTGTAACTTCAAGGAAATTTTGTCCTTACCTCGTCAGAGGAAGAACTGGTATGTCTATCTGCTTGCTCTGGAGAATAGGTGGGTGACTGGCTGCTTAACTGGGAATCATCACCTGAAAAACAACAACAAAATTGTTTAGTTTGTTTTGAGAAACTCTTAAACAGTAACACAGGTAGTCCTTGACTTAGAACCACAATTGAGTCCAAAATGTCCATAGCTAAGCAAGGCTGTTGTGTCATTCCCCATTTTGTGACCTTTTTACCACTGCGGTTAAGAAATCACTACAGTTGTTAAGTGAATCATGGAGTCATTGAGTGAATCAGACTTCCTCCATTGACTTTGCTTGTCAGAAGCTCCCTAGGAAGGTTGCAAAGGATAATCCCAGACGGAATGGGCCAACTTGCTGCGGCCAACTCTCCATAGCCAACTCTCCATAGCCAACTCCCTGCAGGATAGCTTGCCATGGCCAAGTGACTGCGGAACAATTTAACAATCCTATCTTTAATTATTTAAAATAAATAAATAAAATTATTTTAATTTTGGCCATTCACATTTCATTCTGTCCCTCCTTTTGCATCCTTTAATGATTCTATTCCACCATTTCTTTAATATTAAGGAAAAACTTGTCCTGTGGTGAGTTGGCTGTGGCGAACTGGCCATGACGAATTGTCATAAATCCATTCCAGGATCACAGGATGCTGCAACCATTGTACATATATGTTATACACCATATACGTACAATGGTTGCAGCATCCTGTGATCCTGGAATGGGTTTATGACAATTATAAACCCATTATACAAGCACCCAAAGTCTGATCACGTGACCATAGGGATGCTGCAACAGTCATTAAGTGTGAGAACTGGTGATAAGTTGCCCTTTTTTCAGATACAGATACAGATAATCAGAGTTGGAAGGGACCTTGTAGGTCATCTAGTCCAACCCCCCGCCCAAGCGGGAGACCCTACACCATTTCTGACAAATGGCAGTCCAATCTCTTCTTGAAGATCTCAAGTGATGGCGCTCTCACAACTTCCAAGGGCAAGCTGTTTAATTGGTTGATTTTCAGTGATGCTGTAACTCTGAATGGTTATTAAATGAATGGATGTGACTTGAAGACTACAGAAGGTCTCTTTCTTTCTTCATTATTAAATATTAAATATAAAACCATTTAAACAAGATAGCAGTTAATGAATTTCAAGTTAAAACTAACCGTTTTGCCTGCTTTGCTTCCAATGCTGGTCAAAGTCACTGTAAACTTCCTTATCCAGCTTTAAAAAAATTAAAAAGGACATTAGTATCATTTATTTTTAACAAAGCTACTTTTATTTAGCTTTTCTTTCAGGTCTTGGCATCATGATATAACCGATTTGCTGAAAAATGTTCTGTTGTTTCCACCGTAAGACAGAAATAATTCTTTTATTTCTAATAATAATTACATGAAGGAAAGAATGCTCTGTTTCTTGGTGAATTAGTTTAACTACAGGTAGTCCTCGACTTACGACCACAATTCAGTCCGAAATTTCTGTTGCTAAGCGAAACAGTTATGAAGTGATTTTTGCACCATTTTACCACCTTTCTTGCCACAGTTAAGTGAATCTCTGCAGTTGTTAAGTTAGGAACCCCGTTGTTAAGTGGATCTGGCTTCCCCATTAACTTTGCTTGTTAGAAGGTCACAAGAGGGGATTCACATGACCCCTGGGACTCTGCGACCGTTATAAATATGAATCAGTTGCCAAGCGGCTGAATTTTGATCACATGATCATGAGGCTGCTACAACGGTTGTAAGTGTGAAAAATGGTCCTGAGTCACTTTTTTCAGTGACATAACTTGGAACGGTCACTAAACAAATGTTTGTAAGTTAGCACTATCTGTACGCCCATTGCAAGAATAGATTTTTCTGATGTCTTCATTAATGTAATTACACAACCATTCCATTACGGGAACCCAAGTTTCTGTCCTACTTGGTTTAGGATTAAAATCTTATGAAGAAAACCCTCCCTTACTGGCACCTCTTACAATACTAGACAACACAGTATCAACAGTAGAGGCCTTCAAATTTCTAGGTTCTATTGTATCCCAAGACCTAAAATGGACACCTAACATCAAAAACATAATAAAAAAAGCACAGCAAAGAATAACTGTCTGGTTTGGTTCTGCAACCCAACAGGACAGACACAGACTCCAGAGAGTAATTAGGACTTCAGAAAAAACAATTACTACCAACCTGGCTTCAATCAAGGACTTGTATACTGCACAAGTCAAAAAGAGGGCTGTGTAAATATCTACAGACCCCTCACATCCCGAACATAAACTGTTTCAACTCCTTCCCTCAAAACGACACTACAGAGCACTGCACACCAGAACAACTAGACACAAGGACAGTTTTTTCCCGAACGCCATCACTCTGCTAAACAAATAATTCCCTCAACACTGTCCAACTGTTTACAAAGTCTGCACTACTATTACTATTAATCTTCTCATCACTCCTTATCCCCCATCCCCTCCCACTTGTGGCTGTATGACTGTAACTTCGTTGCTTGTATCCTTATGATCTATATTGACTGTTTTCCTATGATTTGTTTGCCTATTTGTATCCTATGACTATTATTAAGTGTTGAACCTGATGATTCTTGACTCTTGGCGAATGTACCTTTCCTTTTATGTACCCTGAGAGCTTTTGCACCAAGACAAATTCCTTGTGTGTCCAAATCACACTTGGCCAATAAAGAATTCTATTCTATTCTATTCTATTCTAAAATGGGTGCCCCATCTGGTTAGAAAGAAAAAACAGCAAATGTGTCTTTTATGCTTAGTTTACAAATGATCTTTCAGCCTGCAAAGGGCAGATTGTTTGGCATCTGCTGTGTAGCTGCTGACTGCTCATATGTTTGCACGCAAATCAGCTCCAGAGGTTATTTGTTTTATATAACTCAGCCTTGTTCTAGTGGCAAGCTAACAAAATGTAAAACGAAATCAGAATGTAAAAGAGGTATTGAAAGAGTACAGATAAGAGCAACAAAGTCAATAAGGGTTTCTTTTACAATTTTCTTATAAATAGGAATAATTATTTTAGAAATAATTACAAGCAGCAAGGAAAATCGCTTCTCATCCAAAGAAGCATCTTCAGCTCTGGGCTGGATGGAAGGGTTTATATTCCTTGCAGACAGCTGGTGATTTGCATCCTTTTAGAGAGTTGTTGAGGCCACTTGGAGGTTTTATCTGTGTCCTCAGGGTCACCTGAGGAGTGCAAATAGGTGTGGACTGAGAACACAGACAAATCTCCAAGTGGCCTCAACGATTCTCTTAAAGGATGCAAATGACCAGCTGTCTGCAAGGAATATCTTTCCATCCCCCACGATCCAGTCAGAGCTGTAGAAGCTTATTGGATGAGAAGTGAAATGTCTTCAAAAGAAAAACCAGAAAGTCCAGTTGCCTCTTGATAAAGAAGTTTTGGGACACAACCATGACCTGGATGACTGAGAATCTCCATAGATATTTCTCTGAACAACTTGTATCAAATTTTACCGGTTCATGATCGAATATCTTCAAATAATCCATATCGGAATCTGAATGGCCTTTCTTCTTGCTGGAATATAAGCCAGATTTATTATGCTAGTTAAAATGATCAACGTTAGGGTACAGTATAGTTTAGGAAATGTAAGTAAATGTGGTAAGGATAATTCAATCATTGTTCTCAGCAAGCATTCACTAGGTATCTGACATCTTTTAGGACTAGGAAAATCTAATGATAGGAACCTATTCTAATATGTTCGAAGAATGCAGTAGCCATGCCCAACCCCTGGGCCATGAACCGAACTGCAGGTGAGCAAGTGAAGCTTCATCTGCATATCTGTGGGATCTATGTTGTGCATTAAACCATCCCTCCCCACCGCCAGTCCATGGAAAAGCTGTCTTCAGTGAAAACCTGGTGCCAAAAAGTTTGGGGACTGCCACTTTACAGTGTAAAATGTAACACAAAAACATAACAGTAATGCTGAGATAAATGCTTAGGCCCTGATCTAATACACAACAACGCATTTGCTTGCAGTAGCCAAATCTATTTTCATTTCTTATATTTAAAGCATTGCTATTTTCATCCTGGATGAAAATGGTGTTGTAGCAGAAGACCCGGTGTTATCCTTAATACAACATACTAATGGATATCATTCAGGTCCTCTAACTTTTTTGTGGTTCAGGTCACATTATCCAGGCCAATTGCACAACAACTGCAAAGTTGCCTTGGAAAACTAAATCAGCACTGAAGAACAATTTTCTTGCATAACAGGTGCCGGTAATTGCTATCATAGATACGTCTCTCCTCAGCTTTTCTTTCTTTCTTTCTTTCTTTCTTTCTTTCTTTCTTTCTTTCTTTCTTTCTTTCTTTCTTTCTTTCTTTCTTTCTTTCTTT